CATTCAGTGCTCAGAAATTTTGAATTTGCACACCTTGTCAAATTGATTTATCGATTTATCATCCTAAAAGATGCATATCATTGGTGGATGGGAAGTGCGTGCCAAAATGCTGCTTTGCAGATACGTGCTTTTTGCGATTTGGTGCAAACTTTTTACCAGACAGGTGATCGCGCAAATTCGTGGCTACTTCTGCTTCTAACTGGCGCGAACTGCTGTGTTTTAATGGGAATTAGGGAGATGAGGGAATGTATTTATGCGTGAATTAAATCTTGATCTTTTACACGCGGAGCGTAGTTGGGTGGTTCGAGTATCAGTATATGCGTAATTTTGTTATTTTGTGGCTCCAAATCGAATGCTTACTTCTTCTGCTTAAATGTTTTTTGTAAATATGGTCATATTGATTATGAATATATACAATCAATCATTCAACTCTCCAATATGAGTGGCTGGTTTCTGTCACTGCTCGCCTGTCTTCTAGAAATATCACATTTCTTACACTTGCTGTCAGCTTTCAACAAAACTTAGATACTCAGTATGAAGATCGCTATCTAACAAGTGCACACGTTTCAACCGATGTCAGTAATTCACGAACAAAATGCCAGACACAGACGTGACTGCCACACAAGCTCTTTTCTATTAGAAACCATTAGACACAGAAGTTACCTAACTGACAATGTGGCAAGACAGAAACGGGCACCTGTGTCTACCTTGTTGGAAATTTTAACGCGCCTGTGTTTTAATATACCTGAATCGTGATTGGTGGGTGTTAACCAATAACCACACAGAAGTGTTTACTGCGAAAAACCTAACATCTGTATAATTCTTCGTGTGTCTAACTCATTACTTAGAATTTGAGACCGGTGTTTACTTATTATTCACACTGAGTTAATGAAAATCATACGTTGTGCAAACAAAATCAAGTGGCTAATTGCGGTAGAATCCTAACGCCCCATTTGATTGGTCGAGGGTTCGAGCAATCTGCATTAATGAGTTTCTCGTTTGTTTTTGCATTTAATGACTATCAAAGTACTGAAAGCTTTGCCTGATGTGAGAGAGTGGTACAGCTTTCTAGATAATATAATGGTATCACAAGCTTATCCAACAGCATAAACAACTTTTACGAGCTGACGCTATGTTCAGGTTTTAATTGCATACTTCTGGCTACATTTTATCAACAACATCCAGTTTGTGAATATTAAATTACAAAAAAAACAACTTTAGTCTCTGCACTTCTGCACCATGGGACACTTTAGGATGCTGTGAGATGCTGTTTCGTTAGTACAGTAACTTCATGGTACTTAGTGCATAAAACAAAAGGTAAATGTGATAGGCTTGAATAACGATTCCTTTGAAATTGGCTCATTCAATCCAATTGCCTTCAATTTCTTCTGAATTTAGTTGCATTAATTGCTTACGATAACTTTGAAATTAGTCCCTTTAGCTATTTGGAGGCAGCTTAAAACTCACACTTAAATTGGGATCCAACCTAGTTGGCGCTATTATGCAATTTAATGTGGCTCATTCTGGTTCACCACACCTAACTCCTAAATGTTTCGACAAATGAAGCCGAGGTCAAGTTGTTCTCTTGTCCATTATTAGTGATTACTGGTTGTAAGGAGACTAATTCACCACGTTTGAGAAGCATTTTGTAAAGATTGAATAGATGCGTTTAGGGAATTCCACCACCACTTATGTAGAACCCAAATATCTAGCTTCTTAACTTGTCCAAGACACTTAAAGGGATTTTCAGTTGCAGCATGGGTGCTGTGTTTAACGTCACTTTAATCTCTTGCAAAGTTACGTAAGCACAATCCAATTCAAATATGGCTCTGAATTCAGTGGGTCGACCAGAAGGAAGTTGATACACTTTGAGGGGAAAATGTCTAATCAGGGAATTTCGTCAACCAAATCCGACACGCGTGTTCTGACATGCAAGGTCTAACATACACTTTTTTTTGTCTTCGTGACCCCAGATGCAAGTCAAGCAGAGGAAGAACCAAGGGATTGTGGATAATGTTTAAAATAAATTGTATTCACTGCCAACGATGCGTTAACATTAGTCGCCTCTCTGTGAAAGCTAGGACAAATCCTATACTTCGTTTTCTGCGGCAGTTCAAATTTAATCCGAAAAATAAAACTGCATTTGTGCAAAGTACAAAAAACTCTCTTCACACCATGCCTCTGCTGGAAGTAATTAATCATGATGTCCCCTGAATGCGGTGTGTCGTGCCTACAAGTGTATTTTCGTGGTCTATTTTAGAATACAGGCAAACATTATCGTGGCAGGACGCTAGCATGCAAAATGTTGTACCCCACTTGAACACACCGATGGAATTTGGTGTAACCTGCCGCTACTCTTCATAATTTTACGTTACGACGATAAGTGGACGTGGACAGACAAATATCCATGCCCTACCGCACATTTACCTTGGTTACTACTAAGTTAGAAACCAGTTTTTTTTTCGTTAACGCTTAATGAACACTGCAGGCGCTAGTTCGATCATTACATTAGTCTGATGTACTTAGGCTGGAAGTGTACTCGGCCCGAGATTATCACCGACGAAAACATCGATTTTAGGTAGCCTTCTTCTTGATGCTCGCAGGTAGGTTTCACGGCTGAGTCAAACTTGTTGAGTCGTCCGTTCAAACACTCCTTTATAAAAAAACCTTGGAAGTTGCCGCAACTAAAGAATTAGTGTAAGGTGAATTTAGTTTATCGACTTTTTATATACATGAATCAACGGGATTGGTTGCTGCACGACGAAATAAAGTTTAACATGAAATAGCATGATTAATCACCTTTACCACAGCTCTTAGCCTAAAACTGTTGCAAGTTCGCTGTTATTCCACAAAACTGTTTTTTCCGAAAGTTTCATTAGGGAATAACGGCTCTACCTAAAACTCAAATGCCCACTGATTCAGGCGTATTTAACGCTATTGTTTAAATTAAGCGGCAATCTCTTTTGCTACTGCATGTGCCAATGGTCCAATAAGGATTAGCTTCTCAGGGTCAAATTAAGGTTAGTATAAGTCCCAAAGAAGGCCAACTGTAACCAACAGGTCATTTCTCTTGGCGAGACAAATAATCACTTGAAATAATGTTTTCTGGTAGGATCAGAGGGTCAATGGTGGGAATAAATTATAGACATAAATTAGGCAGCGATACATTTCTAGAAACCCACATTAGAAACTAATTTTACAGCAAAATTCCCTTTAGTAATCAGTGTATGGAGGAAATTATTTTGTTTGCGTGTGTAATAAGCGCATTAAATCGCACGAATTATTGGTTGTTGAAAGCGAAACACCTTAGAGACCAAGCACATAAAGCAGGAATCCCTTCAGTAGGCACCAAGAAATCATAAATGTACTATGCACTAAATGGTTCCAAAATTTCGTAGGCAACCAATTTTTCATTAACGCAACTGGCACACGATTTTGGCAGCGGAAATTTACGGAAATCTGTACTTTTACGCGCTCAATTCATCAGTAGCTGTTTTCTAATTAAACCCAAAGGTGATCTGTATTAATTTAAAACTTAGCGCAAAACTGCAGTTACGTGTCTTCGTAGTTATTCCTGATTAACGTGTTTTTCTGTCATCGACTAAAACACAATGGTACATATATGGACGTAGATTTTATAAATAGAATACCCACTGTAAAAGGGTGTATTCTAGTGTCTTTTAGTTCTTGAAAATTTGACGAATTTCTCCTTCTTTTAATAAGCGGTGGCAAAAGCACGTGCTCGACATTCAGTGGTAGAAGAATCTGTCATGATAATTTTTTTCAAATTAACTGTTGCCTAACAGTTATAAAATGCTTCATAAATCAATATCACCGAACAAGAAGGAAGACGGAATGTACAAAATCGAAAAGTTTTGGGGCTGAAAGAAGCCATTATCAAGACATATATCGGGATCGTGATTCTGAGCTTAGGCTGGTTAAAAAAAAGTGTTTAGTCAATTAATAAATGTTGATTTATGCAAAGGCAGATGCATGCAAGCGACTAATTTCTCAAAATTAGACTCCATTTTTGCAAATAGGGCATCTTGGATACAATTTGAAACTTGATATCGGTATATGCGCTTCGCATGTTTCGACAAAACGCAACAAACTGTCCACAAATTTAAACAAATCTGTCACTAATTAAAACTAGGGATAGTGATGAAAAAGGTTTGTAAATTTCTCACAAGTGGGAAACGAAATACTGTGACGAAGCACCATGACCAACTCACGCAACTCAATTCTCAAATCAACGCTACACCCGCAACCACGAACAACCGAAATAGCATCATTTTTTTACCATGACAACACTTGATCATGCGTTATTCAGCAAACATGATAGAACTTCAGGGGTAAGGCTGGAAATCCCCGGAAACATGCGCCTTTTTCCCTGATTTATCTCAAATATTCTATAAGAAGAATCCACATAACAACTTCAGGAGACAGTTTAAGAATTTCAAAATATTGCTAAGGGAGTTGGTGGGGAGTGGATTGTAAGGTACTGTTACAGCTACTGATTTATTGAAACTGTAATGGTGTGAAAATGCGAAGTAATGCGTCGTCGGTTCATTCCAAATCGGTTAATATCGATTACTGATCAAATAGAACTTTGGGAAATCCATTCACTGAATCATGTCCACTCATGTTTGGTGTGTTTGGTAGGTGGTCGCCACAGTACTGACCGCTGTTTTTGCTAAAAATTGCTGTAGTCAATTCTGTTTCCAATATAACGCAAACATTTATGATTATTCAAAATGTAAGGTGGGTGTTCGTACAACTATAATGACTGCATTTGGCCTTTTTGTTAATTTACATGATCCTAAGTGCCTGAGAAACGAAATATATTAGGAAAATAGTAGGCTTTATTAAATGACATCATAAATATTCAAATCAGGACAATGTAAGACAACCATGCCGAAATTCATATTAAAGCACATTTAAAAAAAGCTCCCATTTTCAATTGTAGACCCATCACAGACATCCACGTTTCAGTACAGAACATGCTGCCGAATGCTTCCAGCTACAGGAAGTTTCGCGGCCTGTCGGAGGAAGCACACCTCCCTTACCCACCTCCGGTTCCATACACAGAATCCCGCAGACTAGACAGACGATCGATTCTCTTTAAACCACACTTCCACATCATCTACACACCTCAGGTCATGCGCGTGAGCGGACAAAATCTGTACTTTTACGCCCCTAGTGTCATCTACCAACACCCCTTGCGCTACATCCCCCTCTCCACCTCAGACGGAGCGGGTGGTTATTCTATGTTACCCCCATGCTAGTCAACCCCTCTTTGTAATTTTATGCCCACTTTACTTTTGATTATCACCACTCTTGAGTTTCTTTATTTTCACCTTTATAGAGATGTGGAATTTTCGTAATTACGATTGGATTGACTTGGCACAAGGCTTTTCAGTTGTGTTGTAGATTAAGCAGCTTAATTGACATGTTAGCTGACATTCGTAGAAGTTGATAGTACCAGCCAACACGACCAGGAAGGTGGCCATTTCCTTGTCCTTAGGCAGCAAATATTGTGTGATGCTATGCCAGGGTTAATGCGTAAGACTCAACCAATCGGATCAATCAACATATAAGCTAGTGACCAAAAGGAATTATGTCTGCAAGCTGTTCGAGAATCGATCACCAACTCATACAAATGATCTTGGATTCCTATTGTAAAAGCGATAATCAGCTTTAAGTCATCTAAAATTTTGCGGGAATTAGGAGACATTTGTAAACGATAATGCACAGTGTGATTCACGTTGTCTGAGGTGCAATCAGTGTTGGTGGATTGCTACTGGAATGCTGCGTCATAAATCAAGCAGTGTTACAGAAATTTGCCTTACTGAATAAAAAAATAAGGGAACAGCAACTAAGGCAAATCAACCTTTATACAGCAGGTCTTTTAAGAGCCACAATTTCCTTCTCAATTGCTTTTTACGGCCGCACCATTGTGTAAACGCCTAATTCCCGAACCGCAGGAACATTTCATGAAGACCTTGACCCTGAGAGGACCATTATGGCAATTTTGATGGAATAACATCTATAAATATTTTCCTTACTTAGCCATAAATAATGGTATTCGAATGCCTAGAAAATCCCCTGTTTATGGGGTTTGCCACTTGTTAAATTTCATTGCAATTTGTAGCCAAAACCAACTCCAATATGCTATGCATGCTACGTGACGTTTAAACCAAAGGGCTTAATTGTGCTTTTTATTCAAAAGTAAAGTATCTTTTCAGATTTTCATTCAAACGAACAAAATGTAAATCCCAGTATTCAAGCTAAATCATTGCAGTGAAGATCCGGTTTTTCAAAATTAGCTCATTATAATAAACAAAAAATCTCCAACATGAGCTCCTGTTGAACTTTTTTTGGATTTAATTAGTCTGTTTATCTGCAAGAAGTTACTGTTTGTGTAAAAAGTTCAAGTGGATTTAATATTACTCCTCAAAAAAATGAAGAACCATAATATTGCTTAAATGAGATAACCGACTGTCCGTGAATCTGGTCACGTTGAAGGTAATCATTATTTCTATTCCAATTAGTTGAAAACCAATTCCATGCACCTTTACGATGTTGCAAAAGTCGCTCAAATTATAGCCAACAAAACCACACCAAAAAAGACATATGATTTCTTTACTTTGAGATCATGGTAGCAGAATCCAGATGGCAGCGAATGAATTTATCTAGGTAGCTTTAGTCAATGCAGAATAATTTTGATGAGCAGGTCGTTAATGGCATCTGAAACTGTTGAATACGCTCATAGTAGCTCATGGTCTAAGCACTACCTTACAACCCTCTAGTTAACAGCCCGTAGCTACCCGAGGATAGGAAAAAGGAGGCGACAGAGAACACGACCG